CCTTCTGAGTCCTGTAAAAAAAAAATCCCAAAAACCCTAGGTTTATGTCCTTCAGAGTCCTTTCAAAAATATTCTGTTAAAATTCACATTTTGATCCCCAGAAAAAAATTCACTTTAATAATCCTTTTTATCCTTAAAAATCCAAGATTGTCTCCACCTGAGTCCTTTTAAAAACTGCCAAAACCGACTAATACTTTTTCACTTGTTTTAATCAATTTTGAATCCTTATAACTTCGAATTGTTATCCTTTTGAGTCCTGTTAAAAAAATTCTCAAAAACTCCAGGTTTATGTCCTTCTGAGTCCCCTCAAAAATTTTCTGTTAAAATTCACATTTTTAGCATTTATAGACCCCTGAAAAAATAATCTTTAATACTCACTTTTTATACTTAAAAATCCATGACCGCCTACAGCTGAGTCCTTTTAAAAACTGGCAAAACCGATTGATATTTTTTAACTAGTTTTTATATATTTTGAATCCTTATAACTTCACGTTGATGTAATTTTTAGTACTATTAAAAATATTCCCAAAAAATTCAAGTTTATCTCCTTTTGAGTCCTGTTAAAAATATTCCCTAAAAATGTACGTTTATGACCTTCTGAGACCTTTCAAAAAATATTCTGTAAAAATTAACATTTTTTGGTATTTAAGACCGTGAAAGAGTACTTTTTAATAATGAAATGAAAAATATCCTTAAAAAACATTGATTGTCTCCAGCTGAGTCCTTATAAAAACCGGCAAAACCGACTGATACTTTTTAACTAGTTTTTATATATTTTGAATCTTTAAAACTTCACGTTGTTATCCTTTTGGGTCCTTCTAAAAATATTCTATAAAAATGTTTTTTTTGTGGCATTCGAATACCCTGAAAAACCCTTTAATAAAAATAAAAAAAAATATTCCGTACAAATTCACAATAGTGACATTTAAAGACCCTGAAAGAGTGCTCTTTAATCATGTAATCAAAAATATCCTTAAACATCTCTGATTGTCTCCAGCTGAATCCTTTTAAAAACCGGCAAAACCGCCTGATACTTTTAAACTTGTTTTAATATATTTTGAATCCTTTTAAATTCACGTTGATGTCCTTTTGATACTTTTAAACTTGTTTTAATATATTTTGAATCCTTTTAAATTCACGTTGATGTCCACGTTTGTGTCCTTCTGAGTCCTTTCAAAAAATATTCTGTAAAAATTCACATTTATCCTTAAAAATCAACTATTGTCTCCAGCTGAGTCCTTTTAAAAACCGGCAAAACGGACTGATACTTTACAACTTTGAATCCTTACAACTTCACGTTGATGTCCTTTTAAGTATATTTAAAAATATCCTTTTAAAATCCACGTTTATGTCATTCTGAGTCCTTTCAAAAAATATTCTGTAAAAATGTTTTTTGTGGCATTCAACGACCTTGTCCTTAAAAATTCAAGATTATCTCCTGGTGAGTTCTTTTAAAAAATTTGTTTTATAATTCACGTTTATTTCATCTTAAGACCTTAAAGGCCAAACACTTGGATTTTTAAAGGACGAAACGTGAATTCTGTAAAAATTTAGTGTTGAGGGACCAAACATAGATCTTTGAAGAACGAAATGTGGATATTCTAAGGATTATTTTTTGAAGGACCAAGCATAAATTTTTGAAGAATGAAACGTAGATTATTAATCATTATTTGTTGAAAGAAGAAACGAGGATTTTTAAGAATTGATTTTTGAAGCGCGAAACGTGGATTTTTCAAGGATTGATTGTTGAAGGACGAAGCGTGGATTTTCTAGCGATTTTTTAAAGTACCAAATATAGATTTTTAAAGAACGAAACTTGGATTTCTTAAGGATTATTTGTTAAGGGACTAAACATAGATTTTTAAAGAACGAAACGTGGATTTGTAAGGAGTATTCGTTAAAGGACGAATCGTGGATTTTTTAAGGAATATATGTTTAAGGACAAAACCTGGATTTTTAAAGGATTATTTGTTAAAGGACGAAACCTGGATTTTTTAGCAATTTTTTAAGGACCAAATATAGATTTTTAAAGAACGAAACTTGGATTTCTTAAGGATTATTTGTTAAAGGACGAATCGCGGATTCTTTAAGGATTATTTGTTAAAGGACCAAACATAGATTTTTGAAAAACGAAACGTGGATTTGAGGACGAAACCTGGATTTTTAAAGGATTATTTGTTTAAGAACGAAACCTGGATTTTTAGCGATTTTTTAAAGTACCAAATAAAGATTTTTAAGAAACGAAACTTGGATTTCTTAAGGATTTTTTGTTAAAGGACCAACAATAGATTTTTAAAGAACGAAACTTGGATTTCTTAATGATTATTTTTTAAAGGACCAAACATTGATTTTTGATGAACGAAATGTCGATTTTTTAAGGATTATTTGTTAAAGGACCAAACATAGATATTTAATGAACGAAACGTGGATTTTTTAATGATTATTTTTTTTTTTTTGAAGGACGCCACACCCATTTTATAAAAAATATTTTTTTGAAGGATAAAACGTGAATTTTAGTAGAATAATTTTGAAAAGCCTGGAATAAAAAAAAATATTTTGGAAGAACAAAACTTTGATTTTTCGACGACGAAACGTGAATTTGGCCAATATTTTTTTTTTTAAAGGAAGAAACTTGGATTTTTGCGGAATATTTTTTTAAGGACGAAAAGTGTGTTTTTTGAAGGACAAAAAAATCATTTTTGAAGAGTATTTTTTGAAAAACAAAACTTGGTGATGGGGATTTTTGAAGAATGTCCTTTGAATATCACAACGAGTATTTGTAAAAAATATTTTTTTAGAACAAAAATTGTATTTTTGGAAGACGAAATGTGGATTTTGGGCAGTATTTTTGAAGGAAGAAACTTGGATTTTTGTTAGATATTTTCCAAAAGACAAAACGTAGATTTTTGGAAAACAAAATGTGGATTTTTTAAAAATACTTTTTTAAGTAGGAAACGTGGGTTTTTAAAGGACGAAAGGAGGATTTTTGGTGGATTAAATAAGAAATTTTGAAGAATACTTTTTTAAGGACAAAACCTGGATTTTTAAAAGACGAAAGGAGGATTTTTGAAGGGTTAAATGAGAATTTTTTTTAAAAAAATTTTAAGGACAAAAGTGGATTCTTAAAAGACAAAACGATTGAATGAGAATTATTGAAGGAATTAATGAGAGTTTTTGAAAAAAAAAAATTAGGGACGACATGTGGATTTTCAGGAGATGAAAATAAAATAAGTCTTTTTTAAGGACGAAACGTGGATTTTTGGTTAAAAAACTTTTTAGGGACGACATGTGGATTTTGAAGAGATGAGAATTTTTGAAAAACATCTTTTTTAAAGACGAAACTTGGATTTTTAAAAGAAGGACGAAACGAGGATTTTTGAAGTATTATATAAGAAATTTTGAAGAAAACTTTTTAAGGATGAAACTAGGATTTTTGAAGGATTAAATGAAAATTTTTGAAGAACTCTTTTTTAAGGACGAAATAAGGATTTTTGAAGGGTTAAATGGGAATTTTTGAAGAAATTTTTTAACTACAAAAAGAAGATGAAGGACTTGAAGGATTAAATGAGCATTTTTGAAGAAAATTTTTTATGGACGAACGGAGGATTTTCAAAGGATGAAAGGAGGTATTTCAAATTTTAATTTTTTAAGGAGGAAAGGAGGAAATTCAAAGGATGAAAGGAGAAGTTTTGAAGAAAACTTTTTAAGGACGAATCTTGGATATTTAAAGAACTAATCGACGATTTTTTAAAGATTTTTGGATTTTTGAAGAACGAAACAAGGATTTTTAAGGAATACAAAGGGCGAATTTTTTAAGTACACACGTGGATTTAAAAAAAATTGTTTTTGAAGGAAAAAACTTAGATTTTTGGATGACAAAATGAGAAATTTCGAAAAATATTTTTGGAATTACTGAAAGTGGATTTTAGGAGGACGACACGAAAGGCTAAAAGAAGGATTTTTGAGAGACAAAATGTTGATTTTTGAAACGTGGATTTTTTGTTACAAAACCTGAACTTTTGAAGGACGAAAGGAGGATTTTTTGAAGAATATTTTTTGAAGGGCCCTCATGTATTCTAAGGTAATCGAAGAGATGGAGATTTTTAAGAAAATTTAAAGTGGATAACGTTTTAAAATTTCTTTAAGGATTATCAAGGTCACAAATTTGAGCTTTAAAAAAAGTTGTCAACGTCTATAGAATTCACAATCCTTGATTTTTAAAAAATATTTATTTTTTCAAAATCTATCAAAGTTACGAACATGGATGTTTGAAGAAATATCAAGGTCTATCAGGCATAGATTTTTTGGTAGTTTTGGAAGGGCCGCTGGAGGTCCCAAATTTGGTTTTAAAACGATTTTTTTTTGGAGCTTGAAGGGAGAATAGATCCTCTAGTCTCCCTGGACCTCCCCTGTATTCTCAAACTTCTTTCACATCCCTCGCACATATGCTTCACTTACATATTCCATAAAAACTAATTCCATCTCTGGCGCCAAGCCCCATTTTCAAGTGTGCCACAAAACTAAGTGTTACAATGATGATTTTTCAAAACAGTTTTGAAAAAAAAAAAATACAAAACATTTTGACAAATCATTTTCAACGATGACACAGCGAATTTTCTTGCCTTTGGTCGCTGCGCTGTGTAAACTGCAATTACTTTCCACAAAGTGTGACACATGTTCACACCTCTAGAATTACAACAACAACAACAACGACGACGAGAACGACAATGTGGCCACAAAGTCAAGTGATAATCAGCAACAATTTCGAGTGACACAAAAATGTAAAATGGATGAATGAATGTGAAGTTGAGCGTTGGAATGGCAACGAGAAATGGAGGAATGAAATTGCAGCAGAAGAAGAAGAAATATAAAATTCCGTCAAGTCATTGCCTGAATAGGGTGGCAGACAAATTTTGGGGAGGGGAAAGGGAAATTTGAAATTAAATTTTGAAATGTTATATAAACATTTTAAATTTAAATACATTTTTTTCTATTTTCAGAAAATTTTTGCTCCGCTGCTGCCAAAACCTAGAAAATTTTCGAAAAAAAAACTCAAGGATCAAAGGTCCCAAAAGCGCCTAACCTCCATTCAGAATAAATCCCACAAAATTGCCAAATAACTTAACATTGTTGATCTGAAACTGAATATTGAGTGAAAAACATTCCTCCTCCTCCACCTCTGCCCCCCCATCCCCTGCTCCTTTGAAAACAGCCGTTTGTCCTTCCTACTATGAGTACCACTTGGATGGAAGCCTTGCAAGCCGCCAAACAAACGGAAACCACCAAAACAAAAAACTCACGTTCGGAAAGACCTACCAACAACAATAACAACAACGCCAGACGTTCGCATCGTCAGCATCGACGCTCACGATATAACGGTAGCACAATAATACCAATCTCATCGCCGACCATAATATCTACTGCGGCCGCCGCATCATCACCGGCGGGCTTTTTCCAATCGTTGTTCGAAAGCAAAGATTCAATACGTTATTCGGCATTGAATCAAACGGATATTGAAAAAGCTGAACATCTTCAGAGTCACCAGCAAGAGGGAGGACGGACAGGTGCTGCAGGAGGAGGTGGATTTTTTGGTGGCAACGAACCAGAGTCGGAAAGTGAAAGCCGGGCCAGTGACAGCAGTAACAGCAGCAGCAGCAGCAGTCTTAAGGATTTATTCGTCAATAATCGTCCGAGGCGCAAATCAAGGCGAAGAATGAGACGAGGGAATTCGTATTCGATGCGGGAGAACTTCGACAGCAGTAGACAGGTAGGAGGATATATTTTTTCAAAACAAAAAAAAAAAAAAAAAATAGAAACAAAATAAACGTTAAATGCAAGGGCCCGGAATTCCAAAAAAACAATTTTTCAAGGATTGAGAGGATCGTAAGGATGGAGTTAAAAAAAAAAAGAATTTCAGGGACTCCAAAGGACACAGACGAGGAATTTCGAAGAATATTTTTTCAAGGGCACATAATTATTTTTAGAGAAAAAAATGTCAAGGACCCGGAAGGCCAGATACGTCTTTCAAAGTTTCTAAAAGTATATGAACTATATTTTTTCAAGGATCAGGACTGAGACACAAAATAAAGAGAATTTTTCAAGGAATAAGGAGGCCATGACAGGGATCTTTAAAGCATATTGTTGATGGACTCAGAAGACTTCAAATGTGGATTTTAAAATAATATCCTTTAATGGACTCAGAAGGATTTTTAAAGAATATTTTTCAAAATGACTCAAAAAAAAAGATTTTTTGTTGAAGGAATCAGAAGACTTCAAAAGTAGATTATAAAATAATTTCCTTCAAGGAAGGATTTTTAAAGACGATTTTCGGAATAGAGATTCTTCAAGAATATTTTATCAAAGGCTCAAAGGAAGTAGATTTTCTAAGAATATTTTTTGAAAGGACTCAGAAAGAGGAAATTTTTTTTATAGAACTCCAAAGGACACAAACTTGGATGTTTAGAAAAAATATTTTTTTTTAAGTACTCAAAAGATCATAAACTTGAATTTTTAAAGATTTTTTTTCAAGGATTCAAATGGTCACAATCTCGAATTTTTAAAGAAAAATTTTCAAGGACTCAGTTGACCATAAACTTCGATTTTTTAAAGAATATTTTTTCAAGGACACAGATGGCCATGGATTTTCTTAAAGAATATTTTTTTAAGGAATCAGAAGGCCACAAACGTGGATTTTTTTGAAGAATAATTTTTTAAAGACTCATATGACCACAAATTTGGATTTTTTCAGAATATGTTTGGGAATGTTTTTTTCAAGGACTCACATGGCCAAAAACTTGGATTTTTAAAGAATATTTGTTTTTCAAGGTCTCAGGTGGCCTCAAACGTGAATTTTTTTTAAGAATATTTTTTTCAAAGGACTTAAACTCAAATGATCATAAACTTGACCTTTTAAAGATTTTTTTCAAGGACTGAAATGCTCACATACTCGAATTTTTAAAGAAAAACATTCAAGGACTCAGATGACCATAAACTTGAATTTTTTAAAGAATATTTTTTCAAGGACACTGATGACTTAGAAGGATTTTTAAAGACGATTTTCGGAAAAGAGATTCTTTAAAAATATTTCATCAAAGGCTCAAGGGAAGTTGATTTTCTTAGAATATTTTTCGAAAGGACTCAGAAAGAGGAAACTTTTTTTGAAGAACTCCAAAGGACACAATCTTGGATGTTTAAAAAAATATTTTTTTCAAGTACTCAAAATATCATAAATTTTAAATTTTAAAGATTTTTTTTCAAGGATTCAAATGGTCACAATCTCGAATTTTTGAAGAAAAAATGCCAAGAACAAAGATGGCCACAAACTTGAATCTTTTAAAGAATATTTTTTCAAGGACACAGATGGCCATAAAAATTGATTTTCTTAAAGAATATTTTTTAAGGACTCAGAAGGCCACAAACGTGGATGTTTTTGAAGAAGAATAATTTTTCAAAGACTCATAAGACCACAAATTTGGATTTTTTCAGAATATTTTTGGGGATATTTTTTTTAAGGGCCCAGAATGATTTTTAAAGAAACATTTGTTAAGAACCCAGGAGGCCAGATACGATTTTCAAAGTTTCCAAAAGGATATGAGCTATAATTTTTCAAGGAACAGGACTGAGGCACAAAGTAAAGAGAATATTTCAGGGAATTTGGAAGGCCATAATGGGGATCCTTACAGCATATTGTTGAAGGACTCAGAAGACTTTAAGTGTGGATTTTAAAATAATATCCTTTAATGGACTCAGAAGGATTTTTAAAGAGTATTTTTAAAAGGACTCAAAAAGAAGATTTTTTGTTAAAGTATTCAGCAGTCTTCAAAAGTAGATTTTAAAATAATAATATCCTTTAATGGACTCAGAAGGATTTTTAAAGACGATTTTCGGAATAGAGATTCTTTAAGAATATTTCATCAAGGGCTCAAAGGAAGTTGATTTTCTTAGAATATTTTTTTAAAGGACTTAGAAAGAGGAAATTTTATTTGAAGAACTCCAAAGGACACAAACTTGGATGTTTAAAAAAAATATTTTTTTCAAGTACTCAAATGATCATAAACTTGATTTTTTAAAGATTTTTCAAGGACTCAAATGATCACATGCTCGATTTTTTAAAGAAAAAATTTCAAGGACTCAGATGACCATAAACTTTAATTTTTAAAGAATATTTTTCAAGGACAAAGATGGCCATAAAAATGGATTTTTTTAAAGAATATTTTTTAAGGACTCAGAAGGCCACAAAGGTGGATTTTTTTGAAGAATAATTTTTTAAAGACTCATATGACCACAATTTTGGATATTTTCAGAATATGTTTGGGGATATTTTTTTCAAGGACTCAGATGGCCAAAAACTTGGATTTTTAAAGAATATTTGTTTTTCAAGGTCTCAGATGAAACGCTAAAGAATATTTTTTTTCAAGGACTTAAACTCAAATGATCATAAACTTGATTTTTTAAAGATTTTTTTTTCAAGGACTCAAATGGTCACAAACTTGAATTTTTAAAGAAAAAATTTCAAGAACACTTAGAAGGCCAAAAACGTGGATTTTTTTTTGAAGAATAATTTTCAAAGTCTTATAAGGCTACAAATTTGGAATTTTAAAGAATATTTTTCAGGATATTTTTTTCAAGGACTCACATGGCAAAAATCTGGGATTTTTAAAGGATATTTGTTTTTCAAGGTCTCAGATGGCCGCAAACGTGTATTTTTTTAAGAATAATTTTTTCAAAGGACTTAAAAAAGGTCCCAAAATGTTTTTTATTTAAATAATTTTTTCAAAGGCATAGAAAATCACAAAATCTGATATGAAAACATTTTTTGTTTCAAAGATTTAGAACGATTTTTTAAGAATATTTTTTAAGGACTTTCAAAGGATTTTCAAAGAATATTTTTTCTAGGATTCAGAATGTTAGAGAATATTTTTTAAGGACTTAGAAGGATTTTTAAAGACTCAGAAGGTCACACACGTGGATTTTTTGAAGAATAATTTTTCTAAGTCTCATATGACCACAAATTTGAATTTTTAAAAAATATTTTTCAGGATATTTTTTTCAAGGACTCACATGGCCAAAAACTTGGATTTTTAAAGAATATTTGTTTTTCAAGGTCTCAGATGGCCGCATACATAGATTTTTTAAGAACATTTTTTCAAGGACTCAAATGGCCACATGCGTGTATTTTTAATAAATATTTTATTCTAGGATTCAGAATGAATTGTTTAAGACTTTTTTTTGGAAACTGAGGAGGCCACAGTCGTGTATTTTTAAAGACTTTTTTTCGAAAGAACTTAAAAAAGGTCCCAAACTTTAAATAATTTTTTCAAAGGCTTAGAAAATCACAAAATCGGATATAAAAACATTTTTTTTCAAAGATTTAGAAAGATTTTTAAAGAATATTTTTTAAGGACTTTTAAAGGATTTTCAAAGAATATTTTTCTAGGATTCAGAATGAATTTTTTAAGATTTTTTTTTTTGGAAACTGAGAAAGCCACAGACGTGTATTTTTAAAGATTTTTTTCTAAGGACTTAATTGGCCACAAACCTGGATTTTTTAAAGAATATTTTTTGTAGGACTTAATAGGTCCCAAACGTGATTTTTTTAAATATTTAAAGACTCAGAACATCACAAAATCAGATTTAAAACTTTTCTTCAGGGACTCAGGAAGATTATTAGAGAATATTTTTTAAGGACTTAGAAAGGATTTTTAAAGACTCAGAAGGTCACAAACGTGGTTTTTTTTGAAGAATAATTTTTCTAAGACTCATATGACCACAAATTTGAATTTTAAAAAAATATTTTTCAGGATATTTTTTTCAAGGACTCACATGGCCAAAAACTTGGATTTTTTTAAGAATATTTGTTTTTCAAGGTTTCAGATGGCCGCATACGTCGATTTTTCTTACGGATATTTTTTCAATCACTCAGATGGGATTTTAAAGACTTAAAAAGTCCAAAACGTGTTTTTAAGGAATTTTTTTTTAACGGCTTAGAAAATCACAAAATCTGATTTTTTTTTTTTCAAAGATTTAGAAAGATTTTTAAAGAATATTTTTTAAGGACTTTTAAAGGATTTTCAAAGAATATTTTCTCTAGGATTCAGAATGAATTTTTTAATATTTTTTTTGGAAACTGAGAAGGCCACAGACGTGTATTTTTAAAGATTTTTTTTCAGGAACTTAATTGGCCACAAACCTGGATTTTCTAAAGATTATTTTTTGTAAGACTTAATAGGTCCCAAATGTGATTTTTTTAAATATTCAAAGTCTCAGAACATCACAAAATCAGATTTAAAAACTTTTTTTCAAAGACTCAGGGAGATTATTAAAGAATTGTTTTTAAGGACTCAGAAGGATTTTTAAAAAATAGTTTTAAGGACTCGGGAGGACTTTAATAGCATAGCTTTTCAAGGACTCAGAAGACTACAAATCTGCATTTTAGAAGATTTTTTTCAATGACTCAGATTGGCACAAACTTGGATTTTTTAAAGAATATTTTTTGTAGGACTTAATATATCCCAAACGTGATCTGTTTTTAAATATTTAAAGGCTCAGAACATCACAAAATCAGATTTAAAGACTTTTTTTCAGGGACTCAGCAAGATTTTTAGAGAATATTTTTTAAGGACTCAGAAGGATTTTTAAAGAATATTAAAGAATATACAAATCAGCATTATTGATTTTTTTTTTTCAAGGACTCAGATTGGCCCAAAAGTTGGATTTTTTAAAGAATATTTTTTCAAGGACTCTGAATGTCTAGGACGTGAAATTTTT